TAATGTCAATGGAAACATTTGCAGAGGCAAATAACATCTGAGTGGTGCGGCAGTCGAACACTGAAGACTGAAAGTAAGGAAGAGCTTAAGTAACAGCTTTAATAAATACCCTGGAGTAGTCTCAAACTACATTTTATCTGGAATGTCTCTGCAGAAATGGCGACTATTGAATGACAGAACTTCATTTTCACTTGAGGCACATTTTAAATTGACATTTATGTATAACGAAGATGATCACTGGCCTGGCGCATCTCCTGTCCAAGGAAAGGCTGAGAGACCTGGGGCTGCTCGGCTTGGGGAAGCAAGATTGAGAGAAGATCTGATTAATGATTATAAATACCTAAAGTGCAGGTGGCAATTCAATGAGGCCAGACTCTCTTCAGAGATAGGCCAAGGAGGTGGAACGTAGGAAGATCCACACAAACATGTGGAAGAACTTTCCTGTCAGTGATGGAGCACTGGAACAGGCTGCCAGAGAGGTGTGGAGTCTCCTTCTAAGCAGATATTCAAGACCTGGCTGGACGCTGACCTGGGTGACCTTTTGTAGGAAACCTGTGTTATCAGAGGCTTGGACTTGATCATCTCTAGAGGTCCATTCCAGAACCCATGGTTCTGTGATTATGTATCAGCGTGCTAAACCTACTGCATTAATAACAAATATCTTATGTGTTAAGGACAAGCATGGATAAATATTTTACACTTTATACACCTAAAAAAAAGAACCCATATCTGGATTGTGCTTCCTTCCAGTTGTGCTGTGATAAATGATGCAAGTTTCATAGAGCTACTGATTTAGCACAAATCTTCAGATTTCACAAAATTTCACAGATTTCACGAATGCTTCACAAAGAATACTTCAGTCTTTCTTCACCTGCTACAGTTATTTCCTGCAGCTACACTGCAAGACTCTACTCTGCTGAACACCAGCCTGAAGGCCAAGCCATATGCCCAGATTACCTTCCAGCGTAGATAACCCAGAAGTTGACAGCTGTAAACCAAAGAAGGATGAGAACCTGAGTGCTGCCATACAGAACATAGCACCTCAAAGTTCTGGGACCCAAAAAACTGCTGAATGGAATTCACCACTTTGAGTCTGAATGCTGGGTTTCTCCATGCAGAATCGTTTCAATCTGCACTTCAGTTAGTAGACCGAAAGATTTGTATGCATGCACATTACTGTCAAGACGGACTTCTATACTAAACCTGCCTTTAAGAAAAAAAGGAACACTTCAAACGGAGGATAAGCATTTACCTAGGCATCAGCTCTCACTATTTAAAACAACATAGCTTTAAAAGTCAATTTATGTGACTCATAGGAACAACTCTGAATTCTGGTAAGATTTAAAGACACTTCACAAAATACAATGACTTATTAACATACCGCTTTGGCCCTTACAGCGCTCATGTATATTACAACTATACATTTTAAATGTATTCACACAGAGATCATTTACACAAGCTCATGCGATTTCTGAGGCTCACTTCTGCGAAGTAGTTGTAACCAACAGTGAATACCAAGATCAAAAAAGAGAGCAGAGCAATAACTGCATCTGCAGAATGTGATGGTGAAGAAATGACAAAAGGTACACCTGGCTTGGTTTTCATTCACAAGCTTCTGCTTCATACTCCCGCATACTTCTGATCAACAAAAATAATTCTTCACATGAAATGTGGTTATCTCCCTTTAGGCTTGCCCTGTCCATGGCTGTTGATGATGTGCTGCCACCTAGCACATGCTTCCAGAAAGTTTAATTCATACACATCTCGTAGTACAGCAAACTATTCTGTGATACCAGAAAATCATCACACAGCAATGTTTTTAAGGATTCCTTCAGTGTGTATGCCTATAAAGATGAGAATACAATTATAGTCAAATGTAGACAAGCATGGCAGAAAAACAGCCATATACGTTTGACACATAAAAGTAATTCATCTTTTTATCTTTGTTCAATTAATGTTTGTTTTTTTTTTTTCTCTAAACAAAGAAAAAGAAAGTGAAAAGCAGTAAAAACAACACTATTTTCCTCTTCTTTCCCAAGAACTCTAATTTTCACATTTTTAATTCCCTTTAACTTTTTGCAACCTTTAGTCTCCCTATAATTCTCTACCTCCTACTCTGCCTTGGGCACAGATGTCAAAACTCAATAGAAAAACAGAAATGGGATGTCTGAATCACACACACACAAAAACAAAAAAAAAAAAAACAACAACAAAAAACCTTTTCTCACATGAAATCACACTGCAATTATACAGTAATCACATTTAATTTTTTTTTTTTCCATTTTCATTCACCATTAGATTGGAAGAGCTGGGAGAATTTGCTGTTCCATGGGTGCGCTATTTTCTATCTAAATGATACCTTTTAAAAGACTTCCAAGATCTCCTCTCCAAATTAACGAGCTGAGGTTTAACAAAAGCAAGTGTAGAGTCTTGCATCTAGGGAGGAATAATTGCATGCACTGGCACAGGTTGGGAGGAGCTCTTCGGAGAGGGACCTGGTTGTCCTGGTGGACTACAGGTTGGCCACGAGCCAGCAGTGTGCCCTTGTGGCCAAGAGGGCCAATGGCATCCTGGGGTGCATTAAAAAGAGCGTGGCCAGCAGGTCGAGGGAGGTGATCCTCCCGCTCTACTCTGCCCTGGTAAGACCTCATCTGGAGTACTGCGTCCAGTTCTGGGCTCCCCAGTACAAAAAAGACAGGGATCTCTTGGAAAGAGTCCAGCGGAGGGCCACGAAGATGGTGAAGGGCCTGGAGCATCTCCCCTATGAGGAAAGGCTGAGTGAACTGGGTCTGTTCAGCCTTGAGAAAAGAAGGCTGAGAGGGGACCTGATCCAGGTCTATAAATATCTAAGGTGTGGGGGGCAGAGTGGCGAGGCCGGACTCTTTTCAGTAGTGTGTGAAGACAGGACAAGGGGAACCTGTGCGACCTGGTGTAGGGAACCTGCTTTGGCAGGGGGGTTGGACTTGAGGATCTCTGGGGGTCCCTTCCAGCCCCTACGATTCTGTGAAATGACCAAATTAACTCGAAGACTGTCAAAAAAGAAAGGAGACACACTGCAGTCTTTTGTTTCATTTCCCTGCATAAGATTTTCATAATATTGTTTCCTTCAAGATTCTCTAGTGATAAGGGAAATAATCACCCCATCAAATACCTGCATTGCTGTCATACCAAGACACTTTCACATCTTACTTCTTGATAATATTGGCAACAAATGCCTGCGTTGTCCATTAGGAGCACACACTTGTTTTTTTCTCTTTTGTGGTGTTTTCAACATGACAGTAATAAAGATCTCCTGTCACTGAATAAACTGACCCTATTCCAACAGTGATTGCTCATTCCTCTCATATAGAAACAAGCAAATATATCTTACTCATACAGCTTTTAACTATTCCAAAACAGCTTAATCCATTTACACTGCAGAAGTTGTTTCTGGAGATTAATAACTATTTGCTCCTTTAAAAACCAGTAACAAACATACGTAACAAACAAACTTAAATTTCTTACTGCAATAATTGCCATTATGTCTATTTGACACACTCTAACGAATGCACTGTATGAAACTGATTTTTACACATTAATATCACCCATTACCAAACTGGAAGCGCATGCAAGAGAAATTTAGTTCTAATACAATTACTTGATTAATTCTCACTCACTATCATCCCACCTTTATCAGAGAAAGAGAAATATTTCTTAACAATAAGACAAACTCTCAAAAAAGCTTCCCAGGAAGTTAAATACACAGAGCATTATCCTGGTGAAGAAAATTTTATGACCACTTTCTGCAGTAGACAATACACTAGAGATGCTTTATGATAAGTTGCATAAATGGGAAAAAAAACGTTAGATCTATAGACAGCAGGTCTCCATCAGAAAGATGTGGCTCTTAACTCTTCACCAGCTTGATCTGTTGTCTCTCTTAATGGGTAGATAGCAAAGGTTTCAGTCGGCACTACAGAATGTCTTAAACTGATGTGCTTTATACAGTGCCTAACTTTTTGTCTCTGGAACGTTCTGATGCAAGTTCACCACTTCAGGAATCTCTCAGAGAACTAACCTCTGGTTTCTTCTTGCTACAGGGTGATAGCTGAGCTGTGAGAAATAAAGCCATCACCAGTGTCTTTACTGAAACCTGTCCATGTTCTCTACACAAACTACTAAAATTGTTTTCCTGAAGAATGGTTTGGCCATTCCTCATTCAAGTACTGTTTCTTACTCCAATTCTTCCCATAAGAGCATCTCCCTTCTGTAAGGAATGAAAAGTTCTTATTTGGAATTTCTTTAGCATGCTTCAGTGTGAAGCTGCTTACATGTGACCTAATTTGGCAGTCACAAGAACCAAAGGCTAATAATCAGCTCGACAGCTGCATGTGATATAACATTAAGCTACACATTTTCTGATGAACAGGTTACTTCCCCCTCCTGAGTTGCATGCAGATCACCCCCTCGGAGCTGTTATGTGCTTGGAACATAAGACTTGCTTTTAACAAATTAGGGAATAATTAGATAAGCACCAATTCTAGTTCTCTTGCAGATGATGAATAGCGACTGTAACGAGTTACCCAGGCACAGTGCTGGAGCTGGTACAACAGGTGCAGCAGAATTACCATGTTTAAAGGCGCACAGCAGGTAACTCTGGCTGTGCCAGGCTCTTCACATGCAATGACTGATTAACAAAACCCCGACCACAACTGAAACACACCACACTACAGCATTCTATTCATTCTGTAAAGCGTAAAAACAATATTAAGCCCGCTGAAAGAGAGGACAGGAGAGGCTCTGAGGCGTTGATTCGCCACGCTCGGCTTCTCTACCTGCAGGGAAACGTGCCCGGCCCGGCTGAGCCGTCGCAAGGCGTGGCGGAACAGGCACTGCGGCAGCGCCTCGCAGCCGGGCCGGGCCAGGCCAGGCCAGGCCGGGCCGGACCTTCCCTTCCTTTCCCTTTCCTCCACAGCCCATCTCCACCCTGTCCGTCCCCACCCGTTCCGTACCCCGCTCACCTCGTTGTTGAGATTCAGCACCGGAGCCATGCTGCAGACCCCACGCCTCCTCACCGCCACAGCGAAGCAAAACTAAGCGCATGCGCCGTTCGCTCCGCGGCGGGGCCGCTCCAGGATGAAGCTCTATGGTTGCAGCCGCTCTAGGCGGCATCTTGCAGGCCGCGGTCCTCCCGCCCCGCTTAGGCGCGTGGTTTCCGTTTCCGGCTGGCAACTTCCGATCGTGGGGGTGCGGAGGGTGGGTGGTGTGCTTCGTGCTGCGGCATTGAGCGCCCCTTGCAGCGCTGGGTCTTATTTCCAAACGGCTGAGATAGTGCATACGGCCTGTCCTTTGTTCAGACCCTCTGAATCTATTCCTGTCTTAATACGTAATCTGCAGCAGTAAAGCTAGTCCTCATCAGTGCACAGAACAGTGCTGTGTCTCAGGGCCTTCCTTCACATACAAGAATTTATGTATTTCTGCTTGTTTTCCCAGCCTCTGTTTAGTTGATCCTAAAAGAAACTCATCAGAGATGGTTCTCTCCCACTCAGAGGGGAGATAGTACACCCTTGGTACGATTTCTCCACAGATGTTCCATTACATCCCAATACAGTTCTTCAGTTTCCACAAACACCGTGTTTATGGAACAATGAACATAAACTAAAAGAGTCTATGATTAGAACTCTCAGTTGTATAAAAACTGGTCCTGTTACTTCATTTATGTTCCCGGTTTCTTGTTTAGTGCTCCTGGTGGAAACATCCAAAGAATAAATCAGCACAGTATGTCTGATAAAACAGATTTTAGTCACAATTGCAATGGCACACAGAAAAAAAGATTACATCGTTTATGTCCCATTACCTGATGCTTCTCTCCTGCTCCCCTGGTTCATCATTGGCTGAGTATTTCAGGTTCACAGTCGTCCCGACACTCAACTGAACATACAGATACTGGCTAAACATAAATAGTTAATTTATATTTTATATTATTTATCTTATCTTATAGTATCAAGTAATATAATATATAAAATGATATATTATATAAATACATATATAATATAAATATGTAGTGACATAGTATATAATCTATATAATATAAATATAATATATAACATAAAATAAATATATGCATGTATATATTATCTATAATATATAACAAATATAACAAATATATATATATCATATTATTATATATAATATAATATGTTGCTAATTAATTGACTTCTAACACTTGCTTCCTGGACACCTGTTCATACTTGGACAAAGATAAGTTTGGAAGGAGGATGGAGGGGAGTATCTGCTGCATCCCTTTCGATCCAAGAGTGAGACAGTTGGACCTCGTGTAGAGGCCCTGGCTTCTTTGATGCTTGATAAGTCTGTTATCCTTAGGCTAAGGGCCTCTTGGCAAAACAAAATAGCCTTTGAGTATGCTTTTTAGCCTATAATAGAAAAGCTGCAGCCTTTGTACTTGTTAATTACTTCATCTACCTACTAAGCGTGCATCAATATGGAAAGTTTATCTAAAGGAGAAATGATGAGGACTAATGAAGACCCCATTTTGTTGGAAAATAAAGAGAACGATCAAAAGAATTACTGGTATTGATAAAGGACAGCAGATGTCAGCAGAGACCATGAAAACTCATCTTGTTGGTTCTAACTGCAAAACATTCCATTCCCACATTCCCCCTGGCTGATCAGTGACGTTTCTCCAGTGAGCCAAAATACAACCCAGAATAGTCTTTTTTGGCATTTCTTTCGACATGCTTTGTCCCATACCAGCTGCTTATGCCGACCATCTTGGATACTGGGTGAAAATCCCTTGTGTATTGCTGGGTAATGGTGTCCACCTGCTTCCCCAGGGCACGGGAACACCAAATTTCCTGGGCAAGAGTCATAACCAACATCCTCCAGCAAGACAAGAGTATTTTAAACAGGGAATGGAATTCCACAAGTGATGTTTTTACATCACAAACATTTAACAATTACAAAGACAGAGAATGACAATGACTAGCACAGTTATCTATACAAGGGACTAGATCCTGCAAGAAGGCTTTTTGCGGCACAAGCATTGAGAGATTGTAGCAATTACTACCATAGTTCCTATAACTGGTCAGGGAAAAAAAGAAGAAGAAAAAGAAGAAGAAAAAGAAGAAAATCAAAACTGTTCAGACATTCGCTGCAAACGCCCTCCTAGACTCGGGAGAGTCTGAATTACTGATTGATCGGTTCCCGTAGGATTCCTCAAACCTGTGGGCCCACAGGGCCTTCCTACCCTAGCCAACAACCTTGCTTGTGAGCTCACATTCCTCGGGGAGGAGCATACGCTCCTTCATACCTTGCATGGGACATCTCCTTACAACTTATGGCTTCCCTGTTCTCAACATACCTGGTCCGCGGCTGGGGTTCTCTCCCTGTTCTGTAGTGGATGTGTTGGCCCAGGGAGTCTTCTCCAAGAGTCTCTCGGGGTGCACCAGAAGCATCCCCTAGGCCGACCAGCCCCATGGCCCAGCAAAGAGCCTCCTGACTGGCTCACCAAATTGGCATGCAGAATCACATTCCATAACCATAAAGCAGGTATGTTTACTCAGTGCTGCGTACATGCTGGATGCAGGGGGGTAATCCCTCCAAGCCTGCATACCAGAGGTCAGGAAGGGCACGTACTTCAAGAACAAGCTGCTTACATATGCATTACATGCCCATGAAAAGGCTGGGTTATTACAATGAGTCCCCCGAATGACTGACGTTCTTCCCCCCCAGCCTTGAATCTCAGTTCTTTTATGCATGCATGGTATCTCAGGGGTCATTTGGTAGTCTTTCTGATGAAGGCTATCTTCTTCACTGTGTATTCTGTGACTGGCTTTGGCCCTTCATCTTATTGGTTATGGTTCTGTCCATCAATCCGTTGGTTCTTCATTAATTTGTGGTTTACTGTTCCAGCCAGCTGTCTTGCATTGCAGACATGAGGCAGCTAACAATGTTACAGTGAGACATGGGCTTCTCTCACCCACGTCTAGATCTTCAGGGTCCTGGCAGACATGGGGAGGAGCCAGACCACCAGTGAAGACTAAGGCAACACGCTCTTTGAGCAGATCAGCTTTTTCCTTGTCTGAAGAAGCCATCTTTCCGTTCTTATTTATCAGAGCGGGAACACTGTCCTTGATCTGTCTCCTGTGTATGTACCTGTAGAACCCCTTCTTGTTATTTTTCACATCCACCACCAAGTTTAGCTCTACTTGTGCCTTGGCTTTCCTAATCTTATTTCTACACATGCGGACAATGTCCCTGTATTCTTCCCAGGCTTCCACTTTCTGTACATTTCCCTATTTTCCCTCAGTTCAAACTGCAAGTATGTGCTCAGCCATGCCAGTCAGCTGCCTCCTCTGCTCGGTTTCTTCTGCTGGGGGATTGAGAGCTCTTGTGCTCTCAGAAGGGTGTCCTTAAAGAGCTGCCAGCTCTGTTCTGTGCCCATGCCCTTAAGGACGCTTTCCCAGGAGATCCCACCCAGCAATTCCTTGATCAGCAAGAAGCTTGCTCTCCTGAAGCTCAGGGCCCTGACTCTATTTTTGCCAGGCCTGCATTCCTCCAGATCACAAACTACACCAGGGCATGGTCATTACAGCTCAGGCTGCCTGCACTCTTAACCTCTCTAATGCTCTCCTCCACTCTGGTGAGCACCAGGTCCAGTAAGGCTTCACCTTGGGTCGGTCTGTCTGGACAAGGAAGTTGTCCTCGATAGACTCCAGGAATCTCTCGCATTGTCTGCCACGTGCCATGCCGCTATCCCAGCAGATATTGGGTGGTTGAAATCCCCCATCAGAACAAGAGCCTGCGAGCACGACACCTCCTGCAGCTGGAGCAAGAAGGCCTCATCAACAGGCTCCCCCTGATCAGGTGGCCTGTAGCAGGCCCTAACCACTACATGCCCTTTACTGGTTTGATCTCTGATTTTCACCCATAAGCTCTTAACCTGGTCATGGCTGCTTCATGTTGTCCTCTGTCAGTTCCATAGTGATGACCCTGCGGTGCAAGAGCGGAAGGCACTGAGATCCAGAATTGCCTCCTGGTAGCTCAAGCCCGCCCAGACAGCAGTGCTCGATGGGTGAGGCGCCTGGTTCTTTCTGCAGAGGAAAGCAGGACTCCCATCTCCAAGTGCTTCCTGGAGAAGACCAAGCTTTCCACTTACAGGACGAGAAAGAGTCCTGAGGGCCAGCTGTAGGCCAGTCACTGGGGAGGCTGACTGTGGCCTCTGCACCCTTACAGCCCTGGCCCGGGTCACACTACGCACGCCCTGCAGCGGCCCTCATTGGGCTAAGAAGGAAGGCCTCAGCAGGTGGCAGGTCTGCGTCTGCCGCCCAGCCCGCAGCAAGGCTTTTCTGCCCCAGTGCTCCTTCTGGAAAACAGGCAGAGGGCAAGCAGCGCTTCTGAGATGAGCCACCTTGCTTCCCCTCAGCTCCAGAGCTGGAGCTCTTTCCGTCTCTTTGTGCTTGGCCCAGGGACAACGGAGGAAAGCAGTGGCTCGGGGAAAGCTTGGTGAGCCGGGCCCTGAGGACCCACAGTGCTCCTGGTCCCATGCTGCTGCTACCACTTACCATTTCCTGCCTGCCCACAGTTCCTGCCTGAATATACAAAATTCAGCTTGTCAGCTGTCTCTGTGATGCATTTTGTCTCCAGGTTCCAATATTCAGGTTTTGCTGTGTTTCAGTACCTGATTTCTGACTGACTTCAGGCAATTCTGTGAATGAATGAGCTGAAGCTAAAGCACTTTCAGTCCTACGACTGATGAAGTCGTAATCAAGTCTTAATCAAGTCTTACCTGCAAATGGTCAGGGTAGTCCTTCAAAGCAGAGTTTTCAAGAGCAATTTTGGTTGCCTCAGAAAGTGGTTCTGGTAGTTCAGTAGCCATCTGTGTTTCATGCATGAAAATGAGCAAAGCTAACTGAAGGATAGGATCACAGAATCACAGAACTGAGGTTGGAAAAGACCACTAAGATCACCCAGTCCAGCCATCAGCACAACCCCTCCATGCATTCTAGACAGGTCTATTGGTGCCACATCTCCGTATTTCCTTAATTCCTCCAGGGATGAGGACTCCACCACTTCCATGGGCTTCACCACTCTATTTGAGAAGGAGATTTTGCTAATATCTAACCTGAAGCTACTCTGTGAACAGACTTTTTACTAGAAACAGTAA